TCATTCAGAAAGTCAAAATAATGTTCTTAGATAGAATTGTCTTTCCTCCCAAAGACAGCTCTCTGTGGTTCTTTTACACATGATTTACAAAGTAGTTACCATGTGAACTCTTCTACTGCTTGAAAATGTCTTGAGCAATTAGAGAGAACGTACCATTACATAGCTTGTGCTGTGTCCATCCTGATCCCCTCTTACTTTTATCCTTTCACCAATAACTTTCATCAAGAACATGTTGGCTTTGCATTATGGAGAGCTGCAGGTATTGTACTCCTCCTGGGCATCACTGTAGAATCATTTGATTTGAGCTCACTGTAACAGCATTGCTAAAAAAGCATTAAGAGTTGTTAACCTAATCTTGCATAGCTTCTTCTCCGGTAATATTGAACTGCAAACTAGGGCATACAAAATTTTTGCCAGACCAATTCTTGAATACAGCTCATCTGTCTGGAACCCGCACTGCATATCAGACATTAATACAATCGAATGAGTCCAGAGATATTTCACAAGAAGAGTCCTAAAATACCTTATGCGACCAGACTCGAAATTTTGGGCTTAGACAACTTAGAACTTCGCCGTCTTCGGTCTGACCTAAGCATAGTACATAAAATCATCTGCTACAATGTCCTACCAGCCAATGAATACTTCAGCTTCAACCAAAACAATACAAGAGCACACAATAGATACAAACTCATGGTAAACCGATCCAAACTAGACTGCAGAAAATACGACTTCAGTAACAGAGTTTCAACGCCTGGAATGCACTCCCTGACTCTGTGGTTTCTTCCCCAAATCCCCAAAACTTTAACCTTAGACTATCTACTGTAGACCTCATCCCATTCAAAAGAGGTCTGTAAGGGGCGTGCATAAGCGCACCAACGTGCCTACTGTCCCTGTCCTAATGTTTTCTTTTATTCTTATCCTTTTCATGTATTTATAATTATGTTTACACTTGTATCTGTCATAAAATACATGCTTGACAAAAATAAATAAAATATAATGAAAATAAAATAAAATCATAGAATCATAGAATCAAAGGCTGGAAAGAACCTTGGAGTCCTCTCCTATAGTCCAGCCTCTTCCTCCCAAGGCAGGACTCCTTATATTATCCTGGATAAATGTCCATGGAGCTTCTCAGTCATCCAGGTCATGGTTGTCTCAAAAGTGCTTTTTCAAGAGGCAACTGGACTTTCTGCTTTTTCTATGAAGCTTCTTGGATGAGAAGCGAAACGACTTCAAAGAAAAACCAGAAAGTCCAGTTGCCTCTTGAAAAAGCACCTTTGGGATATCCTGGATAAATGTTTGTCCAATCTTTTCTTGAAAAATCTCCAGTGATGGAATACCCACAGCTCTGGGAGGCAAGTTGTTCCATTGATTAATCATTCCTACTGTCAGGAAATTTTTCCTTATTTCCAGGTTGGAGATTTCTGATGAGCCATCACTTGTTTTGCCCAGAGGTGCTATGGAGAATAAATCAATCTTCTCTTTCTTGTGGCAGACCTTCAAGTATTGAAGACTACTACCATGTTCCCCTGAAAATAAGACCCTGTCTTATATTTTTTTGAACCCTGGCTTGGTCTTATTGCCATGCATTCAAAAGCCCGATTGGGCTTATTATCAGTGAATGTGAATGTTATTTTGGGGGAAACAGGGTATCAGGTCTCCTTAAGGCTTCTCTTAGTTAGACAAAACATATCTAGCTCCCCTAGGCATTCATCGTACAATTTAACCTCCAGACTTCTTATCATCTTTATTGCTTTTCTCTGCATTTTCTAGAGACTCAGCATCTTCTTTTGTATCACATACATGTATTAGATTTCATGTTATATTGCTGTATAATCTCTGCATGTTGAACTATTTCGATATTGCATTCGTAGACCCACTGAAAAATAATAATAATGTTTTGAATATTTTTTTTTCTTAGATTGTACAATGCTGTCCTCAGGCCAAATCTAGCATTTTAACTACAAGCATGGTTAAAATTGATCTGGATAGGTTTATACTGGGGAAGGAAGTTATTCAAATGCAGTATTCTTGTATCAATATGTTTAGAGCTGTATAGATTCAAAATAGCAAAAAAAAAAAAAAAAAAAAGTCTCCTTTTTTGGTAATAATCAGTACAGCCAGCCCTGTCCAAATCTTTTCATTTCATTCATCCTATCTCTACTAATTAGAATTGGTCATTCACCCAAGTATTTGGTCTGGTCCGAGTATACTAATTGTTTGCTTGTTTTATTAGTTTGTTTAAAAGTATATTCATTTTTCATATACATTTTGTTCTGTAACCAATAGAGTTTATGATTCGGTTAGTCTTTATTTAAAATTATTGCCACACCACATTACTGTTCAGTAGACCTCAGAACACTATACAATTTAAAGCATTTCGATAAAATAGAATCAGAAATGAATAAAAAGAATGGAGTATATGGCTTTTAAAAATTTCTTTGTAGATTTATACTCTAATTTTTTGCAGGAATTTCAGATGACATATATATATATATATACTCTGTCCTCTATTTTATTGCCACATAACAACCACATAAGGTGCCCTATCGTAAGAGAAAATGAATAGCTAAAGTCACTCATTGAGCTTTCAGGACTGTGGAAGGACTTGTATTATGGGGCTCTACGGTCAAATCTACCATCTTAACCACTAGCATAATTACAATTGATTTATATTTATATTTATGTTTATATTTATATTTATATTTATATTTTGCTGATAAAGAAATAAAGGGAGACTAGTATAGATCTATTTCAAGCTATTTAGCTCTCATCAGCTAGCCATACCCTTACTTGGATTTGAACTTGTGCTGCCTGCATGTTAGGCAGTTGTATTAACTTCTGAGCCACAAATTCTCCTCCCTTCATCAGCTTGAGCCAGGGGAGAGATTAAGTATTTTTCTGTCGAGTATGGTTTGTCGTGAATGCGACAGCTTGAGGGCTCCTGGATTGGAGCTGAAAGGCGAAAGGGATGCAGTATGCTCCCTCCCACATGCTGAGGTAGACCAGGTGCCTCAATAGAAAAACTATTTATATTTATATTTATATTATTTATATTATTTATATTTATATTATTTATATTTATATTTATATTCTGGGAAGATAGTTGTTCAGATACAGTACAGGTAGTCCTTAGCTTACAACCACAACTGAGTCCAAAATTGCTAAGTGAGAAATTTGTTAAATGAGTTTTGCTCCATTTTACGACTTTTCTTGCCACATTTGTTAAGTGAATCACTGCAGTTGTTAAATTAGTAATCCATTTGTTAAGTGAATCTGTTTTTTTCCATTGACTTTGCTCGTCAGAAGGTTGCAAAAGATGATCACATGACTCAGGGGCCCTGCAATCTTCATAAATGTGAGTCAGTTGTCAAGTATCTAAATGTAAATCACCTGACCACAGGGATGGTGCAATGGTCGTAAGTGTGTGAAAAACGGTCATAAGTCATTTTTTTTCAGTGCGGTTGTAACTTCGAACAGTCACTAAACGAACTGTTGTAAGTCAAGGACTACCTGTATTCTGGTATCAAAATTGTTTAGATTTGCATAGATTCAAAACAGCCCTTGAATTCAGAAACAAAATGAAAGCCAATACAGGTAGTCCTCGACTTACAACCACAATGGGGCCCCAAATTTCCATTGCTAAGCAAGGCGGTTGTTAAGTGAGTTTTGCCCCATTTTACGATCTTTTTTGCCACAATCATTAAGTGAACCACTGCAGTTGTTAAGTGAATCATGTGATCGTTAGGCTTCCCCTCCCCCCCCAATCACTATTGGAAGCTGGCTGGAAAGTTTAGACACCGGGAATCACATGACACATCACAGGAGAATCCAACTGTCATAAATACATGCCAATTACCAAATGCCCGAATTTTCAGCATGTGATCATGGGGATGCTGCATCCATGATAAGCCTAAAAAACAGTCAACAGTCACTTTTCCAGTGCCATTACAACTTTGAATGGTCACTAAACAAATGGTTGTAAGTTGTAACTCGATGAGTACATGTATGGTTGGATCTATAGCAGGGGTCACCAACCTTTTGGATCTCAGGGACCACTAAATTCATAATTTTAAATCCCGCGGACCACTAATATGATCTGCCCAATGACTGGCTGGGTGGATGTGGCTAGGTGGTCATGTGACTGGGTGGGCGTGGCCAACTCGATGTCACTCGCGTCAAGGGGCACCTCACCAACCTCTACTCACCCCTCCCCTCCCAGCCACTCCTCGCCTGCCCGCCCGGGCTCCTTAGGGCCCCAACAGGAAGCAATTGTTGGCGTTAAGCAGCCACCACAAGAAAGAGTTGGCAAAACAGCTGGCTCAGTTCAAATTGGATCTGACCGAGGAAGCTCAGCAGCAGCACCTCACTGAGGACTACTAGCATAGGTTTACGAGCAGAGGGAAGACCTGTGGGAGTGCAAAGCCAGGTACCTCCGACCCACACAAAAAGACCTCCAAGGGGGAGATTCTCTACAACAACACAAACGTTCATTGCATGTTATCTATCCCAGGGGGCATAGTTTGAGGACCCCGGATTTAGTGCAATATAAGGAATGTAAATAATTTTTCTGCGGACCACCAAAATTTTCTCTTGGACCACCAGTTGGTGACCGCTGATCTATAGCAACATGACATCTGGCTACTGCATTTTGAGTTATGAAAATGTGATTAGATCCGAATTACACATTTTTTTACTTTTGTTGAAGCCACAATCACAGAAACGAGAAAAAAACTTGGGGAAACAAGCTCATCTGTGTTCTCTTATATTTTAAGAGTGATGGTAAAACATTTCTTTAAATATGTACCAATAGTTTAATAATCTCTCTGACATCAGCTGCTGTTCTAAGGCAACCAATCAATTTGAAAAACGAATAAGTGAAGAACATTCAAGGAGATAATCTGACAAGTGCCCTTAAGTATGTTTCAAAAGGAGGTCGCATCAATGGCGGAGTCTAATATAGTAAATGAAAAAGTACCACATGATAAGATAGTTCAAGATCACTTTGCTAACTTTAGATTTTATTTATTTATGTATTAATCAAATTTATATAGCCGCCCATCTCACCAAAAGTGACTCTCAATGGTGCACAACAATTTTAGATCCAATGAAAAAAAAATATCTCTAAGACAAGAAGATCAAAGCTTCTAGCTGTTCCAGGATCCATACGTGACAGAGAAATGACTACTGGGCTTGGGAGCTGTCTTCTGGTTCTGCCTTTTGATAAAAGAAGAAACAACAGGAATTCCATTATTCATTTTACTGTAGTCCTCTCTTTTATTAAAATATATCTATAAATTTGCATGTGCCTTCAAGCTGGAACTGTACTTTGTAGCCTTCATATTTCTGATTCAAGATTTATTGGGAAAATCATATCGAAGGTCATAGAGCAAATATATTCACATCCATTATGCTAGGGGCTCACATTTCTTAAAAGTTCTTGACTTCTTTTTGTTAAAAATTTCATCCTTTGTGCCATTCTATATAATCTGTGTCTAAAATTTTTGAATCTCTTCTCTGAATTATCTCCCTATCAAGAGAAACGCTAGCTGTCAACCTTCATATCAGTGAGAAGAAGAAAAAATTAATTCTCCAGATATTAAAACTTTTATTTAGAATAAACTTAGTTGACAAAATCTCACAGACATTATTCAGCAAGATGAATCTCTTTTGTCTCTTTTGCAGGTAAGAATAATGCCATTTAAACATTAAAAAACTTGCCTACAGTGAACAAAGTCTATAATGATAGATCTATATTCCAGAGTTTAAATCCTAGGCTGTTTTTTTCCTTCTCGAATCAACAGATACCTGTCTGCTCTATTAGATCTAAGAGACAAAGGTTCTAGATTGACAAAATAAATTTCTAGGTTGACAATTGATTTCTAGGTCAGCCATTTTCCACCTTATAGCACCAGTCAAACTATGTACTTATTTGCTGTGGTATACCCAGATTCTGCCAACAATTTTCACAGTGAGCTGAAACAGATTTTTCTCAGTGCTTTACTTTTGGTGATCTATTTGCAAGTGGGCTTTTTCAAGATAGCAACAGTAGTGGCACAATTCTACTAAGATATTAATAGGAATTAGTTACCAGCAGATAGTGGGATTATAAAAAAAAAACACCCCAAAATAGATTGTAGTATATTCTGACAAAATATAACCATAACCACTTCCAAGAAATTAATTGAAAAAAGTGCTATATGTATGTGAGAAATTTTGGAAAGCATACTTTTCAACATAAAGATGGATTTTTAAGGTTAGATTCTGACACAGACCTCTGATTCTAGACATCACCTTCTAGTTCTGATTTACCCCCAAAGCCTGGCCTACATAGAAATATTTCACTTGAACAGACTACAGCAATCATAACATGGTTTGTCCAGATGGACTTAATCTCATAGTCAAACATCTCCCTTAATTCCTGACGTCTCCTGTGCTACATTAGACTTCATTTTGGAATGCATACTCTGTTCAGTGATATAATCCAGGCATTTTAACACATTGCTTTTATTTTTCTCTGATCTGAAATCTACAGTTCAATCATAAAAGCATAAATGTTAAATTCAGTGGTAACACTTTCAGATGCTGTATTAAAAACTGGCTTAGAGTTTTGTCCTGAAGACACACAATATTGTCCAAGGACAGTTATTTCAAATTGCTGAATTGTTGGGGGAAAATGTTGTTTTGCAAAAAGTTGCTTTTTAATTCAAACAACCAATGTTCATATATAAAAGTTGTTCTTGGATTACTTCATGTGGGTGTAAAAGCAATCAGTTTCTCTTCTGCTTAAAATTTGAACTAAATTATGGTTGAGATTTGAGGTTGTGTGAAATTAAGGTGTCTTTATTTTGAACTTTTTTTGCTAGGTACCTGGAGAATCATGATTAAATTAATATCTTTTTGTACACTTTAAGGATACTTTTATCTGTTTCATTTTACTTAAGTTCTAAGATAAAGGTCTACAATTGTAAACAAATGCTGAAGCTGCATTCTGTCATAAACGTAGCTTTCTCTAGAAGCAAGTCTACCACATTCTATGAGAATTTATTCTTTAGTAAATGTATAGAAATTGCACTCCACTTTCAACTTTTTTTCCCATCAAACCTCCATCAGATTTTGTGTATACCTGACTATCTAAGCACTCATCTTTACTTCTCCTCTGGAATATGACACTAAGAATTCTTCATGTTTATATTATGAACTTCCTTTCATGTTAATCAACATTATTATTTGTTCTTCTCAAGTCAGGAATGTTTTAAAAAATGAAATCCAAAAAAAAGGGGGACAAAAGAAAACTAAACAATGGTTAAATTAGATGGAGGAATATGGAAACAAATGGGAAGATATAAATTGTGGAAAGGAAATTAGGTACCTGTTTATGTTAATGTAAATAAAATACTTAGATTAAGATAATATATTATAATGGTATGATAATGATATGATATACTAGAAATATACGTATAAAAGATATATTAAGATAAGAAAGAGAAAATGTATAAATATGGATTACTGATGCAAAGATGTTGAAAAGAAGATGTAAATATCTGTTTTTGTTTGTTTCTTTTCTTGTTTGTTTTTTAAAAACTGTTTAATAAAAATTATTTAAAAAAAAAAAGAAATCCAGAATGAGCCATTCTCTAGATGTGCAGTAAAGTTATTTAACATGCCTGAGGAATGTAACATGAGAAGGCAATCTGTTCACATACTACATAAGCATAGCTTCTGGAGTTTGGCATTTAAAATAACCATTTCAAAATATGGCAGCCCGTTTGGGCATGTTTATAGGATATCATAAATATTCAGAAAAGAGCAAAGATTCTCAAATGTTTCAATGCCTGTTTTTTGTTGGGAAATTTGTGATAGATTCTAAAAAGCTGTGGTCTGTTTTGAATAATATACATTCTTTGATTTTTTTTTCCTCAGTGTTGTTAGGGCGAAGGCCGTTTACGTAGAGTTAAACTGTGCAATATGAAAAATGTGGCTTCTGAGACTGCTTTGCCATTTTTATTTTACGTTATATAAATGGGACCTTCAGCCATAAGAAGGATGAAATTTAAATCTTCTCTGCCTCACCATTTAATAAAATTTATGCGCAACAATATGTGTGCTCCCATGCATTTTCTTTTTCTTCCATGCCCACCAGTAGTGGGTTCCACTTACTTTCACTACCAGCTCGGAACTGTGAGTGTGCACACATGCGCACTTGCTTCACTTGTGTGCAGTGTTTCTGCGCATGTGCAGAACCTTGTGCGCAGAGCGCCCGTGATGACATCCAGGCTGGTGGGCGGAGCCTCCTGCTGCTGCCACTACCGGTTCGCCTGAACCAGGGCAAACCGGTAGAAACCCACCACAGATGCCCACTGTTGTGACCCAGGCCCAAGTAGGTAGTATTAGACGCAAACAGTTCCAAAACAAACAAACTTTATTAGAACAGCTGAGAATTAATTCATTCTCAGCGTAGTCCAAACTAAATCAAAACAATTCTTCATAACACAAATTCTTCAGTCTAACCACCAACCTTGGTATAATTAGGCAAACTGCCAAAGGCTTCTCTTGGCAAAAGTTCAGAAGCAGAAGATGCCGACCAGAGATAAGTGCAGCAAGACAAGAACAAGTCTATCAACATTGTTTTCCAACAAAGAGCCCAAGAGCCGTTGCTGGTCTTTTAAGCCTTATGGGAGGGGGTCAATCATCTCTTGGCCTTGCTCCCGAGTCATCCTCTTTGCTTTAGCTGCTCTTGCCTTCTGGCAGCTCTTCTCATACGTGCACTAGTAATAGGCTCCTCCTGTTCCTCTGCCTCTCTACTGTCAGCCTCTGGAGGCTCCGGAGTCCACACATCACTCCCCGATGGCCCTGGCCCCATCTCTGCCTCCGATGCAGAGCCCTCATCCGGGCCTTCCCCAGCCTCCAGAACTGGCCCTTGTTCTTCCTCAGCCTCATCGCTGTCCAACTCCGCTGCCAGCTCCGCAGGCTTCTGGTGGACCACAACACCCACCTATACTTTTTAACCCTTTCTCCTATAGCTATATAGTTGATTATTGTAAAACAATGGAGGGGAACAGAAAACTCAGGCTTTCGTATGCCAGTGTGTACATCCTGCTGCAAACAGGATATGTATGGGTCAATTATATAGCAATATAAATATTCAATAGCCTTTAAGGTTAATGTGGCTTTGTCTCTAGATTGCATTCAGCCTGGATCAGTCACTCTGTCCCTAAACATGTTGTTAAGAGAGACACCACATACTGCAATGCATTAATGACCTCACTTCCGCCACAATCATTAAGAGAGACATCACATGACTGCAATTTCTGATTTGGCTTCTCCAATGGTTCTCCTTGTCATAAACCGGTTGTGAAATATGCAAGTGATAATCTCATGACTGCAGGACACTGCAATAGTCATAAATGCCTACCAGTTGTGAAGCACCCAAATCTCAATTATGTGATAGTGAAGACACCCTTGAGTACTGTCGTAACTTTGAATAGTCATTAAACTGGCCAATTGTTAAGCGTGGACAATATAATCAATTGTCCAGAGAGTTCCAAGCTGTGATCCCTGTGGAAGCCTAACTGCTGTGAGTCGCTTTCAATGGTGAGATAGGCAGCATATAAATTTAATAAATAGATAGGTGATAGAGATAGACAGACAGACAGACAAGCAGGCAAATGTTTTAAATTGGATTTCTACACTGAATAGGGGGATTACATTTGAACAGCTAAACAGCCCTTTGCAACTCTCTATGACACTCATTTACTCTAGAATTGGTCCTATCAAACACAATGAAAGCATTGGATTGTGCTATGATTTACAAACTTATTTTTATGATGCATTTATTTATTTATGTCAAGTTATATGGTTGTGCCTCTGGGCAGCAAACCAAATTGAAAATTAGAACAACAAATAAGTAACTCTCATGTCTTAGTTGTTGAAAACATGCTGTGTAGCCTTTGCTGGAGGCCATCCCAATTCAGTCTTCATCAAAGGATTTGAAACAAGATACTAAGCATTCTTTAAAATTCCTTCTCAGCATCATGTCAATCATGATACTTTTGACTGAGATATGTTTGGTCGTTATCATATATTTAATGTTAAGGCACTAGCTTTCCAGTAAGAATGCAACAAGAATCCTTTTGAGAGCTTATGGATATATACTGTAGCATTCGTAAGAAATTAGATTACTTATTTGCCAAAGGGTGATCACTATTATAATCAAA